CAACAATATCTCGTAGAGGATGGTCTCTAAACCCCTGCATATACATAATAAAAGAGTTTAAAAAGAGCATGAACCTATTGCATATACAAAATTAATGGGAATTTTATTACTTACCCAATGCGCCAGAGATAAGTACAAATAGGGTCTAAAAGAATTAGGGGGCTGACGCCGATGGTTTTCTAATCCAATGGCAAATAAATCTACATGATCCACGCCGATTTCTTTATTATCCCAAAGTGCTTCCAGGTCAATTCAACTAATATGAATGTGACCCTGAGTAATTATTAAGTTATCCCTGCAAATTGATTGAACAATATTTATTAGATTTAATAAAAAATTGACAGAAAAAATGTTCTGTTTTGTATATACCTTTCTTTGTGCATTCTTAAATAGCTATTGTGTGATGGTAGTAGTTCTCTGCCGGGGAACTCTATGGCTGAAGAAGGGAGGACACTTTCATATGGAACAATTGCGCCCAACTGTACCTCCTCCCAAGCTTCTCCTGCCTCCTTTTCCCTAGCTTCATCGAGCCCTGGAGATGGTATGGTAATCGGCGTGGACTCATAAATATGTTGTACTAAATCATCTATATATGAGGACGGAACTTCTACCAGCTTCTTTCTCTTTACAACAATAAATGGAGAACTAACCACCCTCTTTTTCCTCGGTCCTCTGGACTTGATCCTTCGGACAAAGCTACCAATTAGGTCTTTAGGGATGCCTTCTCCAGGTTCCCCGACACCTTTATTAGATTCACTATCAGATGCAGCTTCATCAAAGGCAGCCATTCTGCCTATCCACTGTTCTGCTTCAAGTATATCGGGCGCTTGCTCAATATGAGCAGGTGGTTCTTCTTCCTTTTTTGGGCTATATTTCTTCCCAGTAAATTCAGAACCTACAGGAGATTCCATGGGAACTTTATTTATTTTTCTCTTTATTTCGTTGATGTCGGTCTTCACCTCCATCAGTGTATACTCCAAAAAAAATCTTAGGTTATTTACTGAATCCTTCAATTGAACTAAAATTTGTTGTTGCTCCCTCAGAGTTTGCCATATCTCTTCTAAACCCAAATGTGACAGTGTGGGTGGCGGGATATTGCGAGTATGTACAAAAGGAATATCACCATGAGACTCTGGTGGTGTTTGGTCAGTGTGAATTTGTGGTTCTCCAATTGACTTTGCAAGAGACGAGAGTGGGCCAGCTAGAGGGGCAAGTAAACTATGCTCCTCCTCTATTACATCAACAAAAGAATCAAGAATCTGCAAAAAACATTCATCATAAGAATTAAATAAGTTGGCAAAATACTAAACATAATCTTGAACTTAAAACATACATTAATATCATTCACCTGTACAGGACTAAGCTGCCTAAAGATTAAATGGATCTTCGGAGGGTTCCACCCTGTATTTATTGGCCACCTCAACATACGAGGTCTGGCATCAGGATGAGC